CTAATTTTAGAAAAACAGCATAAGTATGATAACAGAAGACCAATTGTACTGTAAGCCGTCAAAACTCTCCACTTTAGTTTCACCCTTAAATTTTAAAAAGTAAAGACGAAAACTGCAATGAAAAGAAAAATCAAGATAAAAAAAATAAAAGTGACATAACGCTGTATATTTGATCTACATGCATAATGAAAAAGACTAACTTTCAAAAAAGCATGCATGTATACACAATTATTTTCCGACTACCAAATAAATCTCTAATAATCATTCTCATGCTAGATTTAAGCAAAAGAATAACCAAAAAGCTCGACAAAATCCATAAAAACATTAGCACACAAGTCAAAGCCAAAAGACATCCAAAAAAAAAATTGAAAATGGGGTAGAAAACATTTACTATCATGTCGCAAGTTCCCGCTAAAGATCAATCGAATCTGGAAGCCAAACATAGAATTCAAGAATTTGGAGTTTATTTGCAAATAATGGAATGTAAAATTTAGTCGGGGCTTTGGAATGCATCAGAAGACATGATTTAGAACTCGGGGAGCTTGATAAGAAGTGAAGGAAAGAATGAAAATGAAGAAGGAAACCAAAGACATGCACAGTTTTGCAGTGAAAGGAAGCATAGGGAAGAAGTTTAGATTAGGAGAGGCTAGGGAATTGGAAAACGACAGAGGTTTATGATCCATAGCCGTTGTTAGCAGAAATTGAGTAAAAGTAAAGCAAAATTCGACTTCAATTCTGTAAAATGATAAAAACGCACCCTTTTTACCTTCAGTCACGGAGTTACTAAATCTTGGAATACTGTAGATTTAATTTGAATCCAAAAAGGATTTAACCTCTCGTCAACTTCACAGGTCGTCGTCCTCGTCGAAGCTTGCCCCCAGCGAGGAACTGTCACAAACTCCTCTTCTCACTCTCAAGCCACCGATCCCGCTCACGAACCAATTTTCCCTTCACACGCGAGAGCTTCTATTGGTTGAGAAAAATTTGCGCAAGTAAGACTTTCGGGGTGGTTATTCAAGGTTGTCGGGGGCTTATATCTAACTTCCCTATTCGAACTTCCCTATTCTAACTTCCCTAACTTCCCTATTCGAACTTCCCTATTCTACCTTTAAATTACAAATATATGAAAATAAAAACGTGAAACTTATTAGAAGATATAAATATGTTACAGAGAGATTATAAGTGGTATAACACGTATATAACCCCTCAATACCCTCTAAATAACCTTTGTAACGTACACAGCGTTGCTTAAGTCTTACCTACCCAAATTTTTCTCGTATTACTTCGGAACACTCCAATTAGAACCACAGAAATAGGACCCGCTCTTTAATTTTAGTTGAAGTGATTTTAATTAGATACCGGAGCCCTAAACCCAATAGAAAAATCCACACACCTACATTCCGCGAATGAGGAGTTTGAGCATACAAGAAAAATGAACACTTAAAAACAAATTGAAATTAATGAATATTTATAAGGTGCAGTAACTGTAT